ATGTTTATAGAAAAACACATTTGAAATAATATTTTTTAATACTATTTTTATTAATATTGTTATATAAATAATACAGACTGTTATTTAAATACAAAATGTCCTAATTAAAAGGTAAGTCATTTTTTATTCATTTATATTTTTTATGGATACATGTGTATAATTTTCACTGGAAATGTTATCTCCCCGTCTATGGCCAAGGACCTGAACTAACATGTCCGCGATTCACGTCCTAAATCGGGTATACGAGTCAGCTCCGTATACTTCGGGACGTTCAAAATAGAACGATAATGTCATTCTAAAAATAGAACGATGATGTCAGTCTAAAATTAGAACGATGATGTCATTCTAAAAATAGAAGCCAATTGGCGCCGCGCATGCGCAGTCGTGCCCCCAAAGAGGCCCCTATACTACTATTACGTTTTGATAACTAATTAAATAATCACTCAATTTCTACTTGTTAATATCTTATTATGATAGGTTAATATCTTATTTATTTATTTAAAACTTAACTTTTATTACATACATAAACATACCCCTGTGTGAAGATAGAATATGTACAGTAAATATATTTATCAGTGTAAATTGTATGTTAATTAATGTTAATGTGTTAAAATTATAAAGTGTTGTGTTATTCTTAATTAATATTTAGTCTAGGTAACGTCCAAACACCACCTTACTATCCACTGGTTTTGCAAATAATGAATAGAACTTGATTAAGGCACCTGGCTATATAGTGTCACATGTAGTTAACTATACGAGCACGTTCTGTCCCTTTTATTTGGTTATTTCTGTATTACCTTCTGTATCACTGAATGCTGGGGTTGTTCCATTTTAACCAATTGTTTTAAAACAGGTACTTATATTACACAGATAATGAAAAAAGCCTTGATAAATTAGAAAAATATGTAATAACAATTTCTGACGTAAACCATATAAATGTATTGATCAATGTGCCTAAATACAGCGCCAGCATACATAAATAGTTCAGATGTGGTGTTGCGCCGCTAAGAATAGAAAGTTGGTGTTATACCAACATGCCAGTAGCTGAAAGAGTATGTCTACTTTGTGAAGAGTTTATTGAGACAGAAATGCATGTTTTATTACGATGCCCTCTATATAATCAAATATGTGACGTTATTTATGAGAAAGCTCAATCTGTAGACAATAGTTTTTATGATATGTCTGATAATGATAAATTTGTATTTATGTTCTCTCACCCATACATGGTTAGAATTCTCGCAAAATCCTGCTGTGATATATATTAAAAATTAGAAATAATACTACTAAGTATATTGTAAAAACTCTTTTAACGCATCATTTAAAACCATGAGCTCATCTATTGATAGCATGAAAGAGAAATAAAACCGTTGGGGGAAAAGCGTTTGGTTTCTAAGCAATGACTATGACAATTTATCTATGCCAACGACAACAAACACGGACACAATTTTAAAATTCTTAATTGGCCACAAAAATGAGAATCTCAAACTGTCCAATGATAAACTTTATGGAAAATTATACAGCCAAATGAGTCTAAACATGTTTTAACCTTATCCCCACCCCCTATCCCCACTCGTCACAGTCCAGTATACCAGTGACTTGTTCTATATAAAAAGAACGCTTCTTGGTGGCATGTGAAACCAGGCGTGCTCCGAGGTTGTTTCTAGATCCGAAGGGTTTATGGCTCAGAGTGAGGCCTGAAGTCCCGGTCAGACGACCTAGTGTGCCACAAGTTCAATGTATAATAAGTACAGGACTTTTTCGCTAAAATACTGAATATTTCAAATCTTTAATCACATTTTGCCATTGATGTTGCCCGCAGTGTTGGTACACCTCCATATATACTACTCAAAGTTTGCTAAGCTCCAAGTTTTCCACAAAGCATCATGCATTATACATCATTTAATGTCATGATATTTACAATATTACATTGTAAATCGTGTAGTAATGTATCGAGAGTGTACCCTGTGTACACTAACCTTAAATGACTGGCCTTGTCCACGTGCAAGTAGTGAAACAAGGTGACCCTGTATTTTGATGGTCTTTATTAGTCAAAGCATACACGTCGCACCCACAGGGGATTCTGTCATTTTTTCATTAAATTTATATTTACACGTGTAAATTGTATAAAATATCATCTATTCCATCAAAGTTATTGTAGAAGTTAATATATGAACGAGTCATTACCCAAGTTCTAATACAAACACTTCATTAAAACCTGTAACATTGCAGGAAATAGCTAACATTTCAATATTTACATTGGCTCTCATGTTGTCGTCCATTTTGCAGGTGTGTTTATGTTCCGAGTATTTTCATTGGCTGATGAAAAAACCGCTATTCGTCGCGGCTATATGCCGTTATTATCCGGATTATTATTATTCATTAGCCAATGAAATTGACAGCTACTAACAGAAGTTGGATTTACGCATTGGAACATACGGGCAACATCAAAATGGAAGCCAAGGATAGAAATTATCAAAACAAACATAAATTGTTACAATAATTTGTACCAGAAGTTAATGATTGCATCATTGATGGTTGTGGATAATTGATATTTAACCGACTACATGATTAAACTTTCTTATATGAGCATACGTTTGCATAAGATGTCGTTTTACACGTGTAATTTTACAAACCGAAATTTTACGAACGTGTTAAAATGGAACATGAAAGGTTATTTTTAATAATATCTTGTCCATGTAACAAAGTAAGTCTTTTTTTTAAATTATCGATTCTTCCATCAATGTCCAACAATCAGAATGAAAAAAAAAACTGTTGCATACTGCGTTGTATTTACTTTTTCATGAATTGAGCAATTTTGAGTTGTATCCTTTGTTATATTGTATATATAGTGGGAAAGGAAAAAAATGACAGAATCCTCTGTGGTTGGTATTATGGAGCAGGGGGCTCGACATCCTGAGGTTGGTGAGGTGTTTGGTGTGGACAATACGGTTATCATCCGGGCCTGGGCAATGTTCCAACAGCATAGTACACCTGTTAGACGACATGGCTGTGGAAGAACAAGGTGACTACTGAGGCTGAGGGTCGTTTTCTGGTCAGTCATTCAGGCACGAAGAAACCGTTTTGCAATTTCAACTCAACGTCGTTCTGACCTTTGAAATAATATGTGACAAAATACGACCCATCGTTGTATGGTTTAAAGGTAAGCAGGCTGTGCAAGCTATTAAAGCTCATTTGAAATGCTTTAGAAGTTCGCGATTTAATGTGACTGAACAGTTACCACCGGAGTCGTTCCCTTATCCTTGAGATGCTTAAGGTCAGGAAAAGCGGAAAAAAGCAGCACTGGTCCGGGACAAGATGTTCATCAACAACCAGCTATACGCGCCGACCATCGAAGTCGAGAAAAGATGACCTGGTCATAGTATATTTATACTAGTAAACGTATTCGTAAGTCCAAATTTGATTTTCTTCGCTAAGGGTACACCCACATATGTTACGTGAAGTTTATACAGAAACTTTTTCAATTTGATATTGTACTTGTTATTACGTCAAATGGTTAAGGAATGCGTATTGAACTAAAATATAAGTATGTTGCTGTTTTTGTTGTATGTTAATTGATAGAAAGAGCATCGATACACGAGTATAAATCAGATTGCCGGGTGTTTTGATGGTCTTCCTCTTTTGTATCATAGGCAAAAATAAAAACTCCTTCCCTAATGTCACAATATAAAACCCTTGAAAAAAAGTAATCAATGAACGAGCATCTGAATATGATATTTCTATGGCTTTCCCTTTCTCTGCCATCACAATAAGTAAATCCCAGCAAAAATGACCCAATCAAAGGGTATGCTTTGAAGTGAGTCCAGTTCATGTATATGTTTACGATTTTGTTACAATTTCACACATGATATATACACCCTTCAAAACGAGGTAGAAATTGTTTGAGGTATAAAAATATTTTTAGGTAGGATTATAAACTAAATACATGTACACAACTACAAAAAGTCTACAATTAAACTTTACAACTCATGTGTTTTACCAATACTTCATTACTGTGTGTCAGTTTTGGGCCATAAACATTACTAACATATAGATAATATTTAAAATCGCGCAATCAGATATTTAATGGGCGTTCAATATTTGTTATACTTGGCGACACAGGTTGGTTACACAGCCGTTACCGAAGATGGTCCTCTACGTTACGCCTCTGGAATCGATTAGTGTATATGGATAATAACTGATATACAAACAATTTGACATTGCTCAAATGAGCCGCGTCATGACAAAACCAACGTAGTGCGTTTGCGACCAGCATGGATCCAGACCAGCCTGCGCATCCGTGCAGTCTGATCAGGGTCAACGCTGTTCGCTATCAGTTTCTTTACTTGTTATAGGGTCTGTAAGCGAACAGTATGGTTCCTGATCAGACTGCGCGGATGCGCAGGCTGGTCTGGATCCATGCTGGTCGCAAACCCCTTCTGTTGGTTTTGTCGTGACGCGGCTCAAATATTGGTACAGTCATATTTGGCCGGTGTTTTAATTGCCTTACCTACATTCACCGAATGAATCATTACCTATTTACACCAGACCTGGTCCTTTCCTCTCTGATCTTTTTTGTTTTTATTTCACTTTAACTATTACTTTTACCCATTTTTTTATATTAATTTCAACATTTGGCATGAAAGTCATTTATAATATTAGAACATTTCAAAATGAAGCTATTGGAACGGTGTAAATTACTAAGCAAGTGTCCTTAGTTATGAAATTATACTATAGCTATAACTTTGTTTTGTTTCTTTGCTCATATAATTGAAATAAACGAAGCATTTTCATTATTTATTCCATAATTAATTTTAAATAATATCATATATGAAAAATTGTACACTTGTAAAATTAAACAAAACTTGAAGGATTTTAAATCACCGTTGCCATGCCAATTATAATTTTTTGTAAAATATAAAATTTCCAATTGTATTTTTTTAAGATAAATAAATTCGTGAAGAAGGGTGTAGATTGAATTTACAATGAAACGATTTATTTACCTGGACAATTTTTACCATTATTCATGCATTTCTCTCTCTTCATGGCTCCACCTTCTTTGTCCCATTGACAACCCTGCGTATCTCCTTCCTCATGGATGCAAAATCGCAACTTTATTCTAAAATAATGAACAATGTCCCAAAATACTGTCTCAAGACACTGATTTATATTTTTATGAACATTTTATTCCTCGTTTTGCTTGAACATGACTTTCAATGATTTTGACAGAGGTTTGGCGGCGTTCTGGACATATTTATATTATATTTATTTATGAACTGGAGCAGATATTCTTATGGCAAGAGTGGGCCATATTAACATTTTTTAAACAATTAATATGAAAAATAGTAAAAATAAATAGTAAAAGATTGTATAAATGGTCCTAGAAGTTCAAAAAAACTCTAGATTTGCATATAAATCCAAGTTAGAGTAAATTATAACAAAAGAACAAATCAAAACAAACAATTTTCTCATAGAAATATCGCTTTTATTGAGAAAATCACTTTTTTATTATTTTCTTTCGCTCTGGTCATTTACGGGACACATCAATCTTATAACTATTATCTAATAATTGAGCTGCAAAACACTGTATAGTACAGTATGATATTAAGTATCTAGATAAAGTAAAATATCTTATATCAAGATGCATGAATAATCATATCCCATTTAACTAAAACATCTATGAAAATATTATAAAGTTTTCAGATTGTATTTATTTAAGGATAAATACTCGTTAGTTCTCACAATATCTGCTCCTAAAAACCTTCTATCTTACAATTAATACAGTATATTCCAATATTATTGCATGTACACATATAAGCGTGGAATCAAAATTTCCAATTACTCGAATGAATATTCCACACTTAATTTTACCATTTATGGGACAGTGAAGCAAAATACGGGTACGCCTTTTTCCATGTTTATTTCATTATTGAGATTGCAATATAAGTTTAAATGTATTCGTTCATGAAAGTAAGAATCCATTGGACTCTAAAATAGTCAAAACGTCTAAAGTATCAATTAAAATATCAAAATTATTATTTTAGAAGCTATCTGCAAGTGTAAAACACATTTCAGATTATTATTTTTAACAACATGGATACTTCTTTGTTTTCGTGGAAGAATACCATTCCAATAATACCAACCCCCATTAACAAGTTGAAATAATTCACCAAATCAAGCATAATAAATCACAAGAGAAGGTGAAAGAGGGTGAGTGCCGTAAATGATCGGCTCGTAAATGTTGAAAATTTCTGTTTGACAAGGGAATTTTATGAGACATTATTGAATATTTTACATGACTGACAGAATATAAGCAAGATAAATATCCTCTCTTGATATCTGAAGCTGTATTACATTGATATTATTAAAAATATATCGTAAAACCATGGTTTTTAAGAGCCTCGTAAATAATTTTGTAAAAGTTACGCTTGTAATTTCATTAACATGAAATCCTTAACAAAATGGTTGCACAGATACTCTTAATCTTCATATTTTTGTTAACTATATAACAGTAGACTTAATATTACTATTAGTAAATCATTTATACGTTACCATTGTTTGGCAATTAAGACTCGTAAATGATACCGACTTTAAAGACAAGCAATTCAAATTTGATTTTGAGAAAATTATTTTTCGTAATATCAAAAAGGTTTTGCATGTAAAAATCTGCAAAAGAATAACTAAAATAAGCTATGTTTTCTGTTAACCAAGATTCTTTGAACGAAGATACGTGCAATGGAACATACTTTGATTTAGTTGAATACAATCCATTCCTTTAAAAAGCGATTATCACTAGCAAAATAAAATCAATAAGCTCATAAACTTGCGCTCAAATTAAATCATTGATGCCGTACCAATTGTTGAAACATTTTACAGAAATGTTCGGGCTTATATACTTCTACCCATATTCATTGAACTTTGACAAATAGTCGGCACATTAGGGTTAAAGCTGATTTAGGGAAAGTCCTATAAATTTACTTGCGTACTTACATAAATGCTTTTATTCTGTAATTACCAAAATCTTTCCATGTTAAGTACAAGGAAACTCAAATCTACCTGTTAAACTTTTTGACGATAAGAGTACTGTTCTATTTCAAATACAGAAGTGAATCAAAATGACGCTTCAATATTTATATGATGAATGATTTCAAAAAACAACTTTAGTTCAGATACGGTTGATACTGACTTACATTTCTCCCTGTTCGCATTTTGTCCTTTTTGATTCTGTAACATTACAGTTACAGGGCTTGGCGTTACATTTTGTTAACTCCTGCCAGTCGGACCATCTAGCTGAAAGTTACATTTTTACATGTATTATATTAGAGTTGAAATTGATATTGACAAATAAATAAATAAATGAATAAATAAATAAATAAATAAGTAAATAAACAAATAAATAAATAAATCAACAAATGAATGAATAAATTAGTTAAAAATGAACGTATGAATAAATGAATAATAGATAAATAAATAAGTAAATCAATAAACAAATAAATAAACAAGTAAATAAATAAGTAAATAAATAAATAAACAAATGAATGAATAAATTAGTTAAAAATGAATGAATGAATAATAAGTAAAAAATAAATGAATGAATGAATGAATGAATGAATGAATGAATGAATGAATGAATGAATGAATAAAAATAAATAAATATAAACATAAATAAAACTATAAAAATGAAAGAATACATAAATGAATGAATGAATGAATGAATGAATGAATGAATGAATGAATGAATGAATAAATTAATTAATTAATTAATTAATTAATTAATTAGTAAGTTATTGGCTAGAAATGATAGTTATGATGTTTGAAAAAAAGATCTAAATTTTGCCATAGCAAATACCATAAAAATAAAGCTGAAAGTAGTGGAGGGGGAAACCGCCTGTAGTTACAACGTGTACACACTTTCCCGTCTATCTTCGAACACAAGTAGTATGAACACACTGGTCGGATAAAACATTTCAGTTTTACACACAAAAAATATGTTAAAAATTAATAAGTTATTGCTTCTTGTCATATAACAATTACTCTACGGTAAAACATTGAAAAATGAATGATGTTCTGTTAACTAAGCACAATTTGCTTTGTTTTCACTACATTTTTTCTCGTGTGTTTTCTCAATGGCCCGGAAGAATCTGTGTTATTTTTGAACCATTGAAAAAAAATGGGTGCAAAATTTAATTTTTATTGAAGTTTGTAAACTTCATTCTATGGTGATATATCATATAATTATGTAATAACAAAATCATGGTGAAATATAACATATATGGTTAGCTTACAAGTGTCCGAAAAGTTAGATTATATAAAGACAAGACTTATAAAACTTAAACTCATATGTTATAAAAGATATAATAATTAACATACCAGCTTCAATAGATGAAATCCACAATGAAATGCAGGACAAAATAACAGAACATATTACACGCATTTTTTTTCTTTTTTGAAATAATACTATGGTCAGTATATATTTCACGATCGGCACGAATACTGAGCAGAAAATTACTGTTTTTAC